TAGCCGAGAATTTCCTTTTTTGGTCATATTGAGCACGCATTTGGACGCCTGTGTGACTCGCGTTATATTTAGAACAAATTTCAAAATCGTCACCGGGCACCGGGTAAAATGCATGAATTTGTAATATGCACCGGGTGCGTGGCGTCAAATGACCCGGCCGGGTGGATTTTCTAAATTATCACCGGGTGCGTGGCTTGCAATGACCCGGATACGTGGATTTTCTAATGTGCACCGGGTGCGTGAGAATTTTCAGATCGTTCACCGGGTACCGGGGCCAATCGTACGAATTTCAAACCGGTTACCGGGTTACCGGTTGCGTGAAAAAAAAATAAAATAAAATAAAATTTTTTTTTTGAAAAGATTGAAACGCTTCCCCCGCGTCGCATGGAACCCCCGGGGCATCGCCCGGGTAGCGATCGCTAGTGATCGAAATAATTTTGGCGATTTGCGATTGCGAAAAACTCTTTCTCTCTCGTTGGATTTTATCCAAGAATTTTTACTTTAAAAAAGTGTACGTTCAAAGGCGGCCGTGGCTTAGCCCGCGAATAAAATAAAAAACCCCTCTTTTCAAAAATTTTTCTCTTTTTGTTTCCCCAACCCCTATCCATATAAAAATTGCTGTAGAAGTCTAAACCATGTTGTTTTTTGTTAAAATATTTTTTCTTCACCTCTCTACGGCATATTTTTTCTCGTTTTTTCGTTTTCAAAATTATTTGCCCATAAAAGTGAGCATCAAGGGGTATCCCAACTGACGATCATGATCAACATACTTTGGATACACAAATCCGCGTGATGACATTCCATTTCCTTCCTAAACGGCAACACTCTTTTTTGCAGATCTCTGACGTCGAAGACTTCAGAATCCTACGCAGTATTTTTCGGACTTGACCGACTGTGTGATTTGGGCCTCATCCTGTGCCGGGGGTCAGCTGTAATCTGAATTGACAGACATCTTAGCATTGGAAGCGATAGTCTGAAGAGCCTCTATTGGAACTTAGTGATATGGGCGCACCTGTGCTGGGTGGTCGCTGTAATCCAGAATTGACTGAACAACTTAGCTAAGACTTAATAGAGTCATATTTTTGTTGCTTTTTTTTGTAAATTCTTTAGCGTAGATGGTCGGGTTGCATAGTTACTTCTTAGGAAAATATGTTACCATTAGTTGAAGAGTTACTTTTTTTTGTTTAGTTTTCGGAAATTTACTTTAGAAAGGAGATAATGACATAGTATTGACCATAGTTTATTTCCATCTCTTGTTGATGATAGTAGTCATTATGCACATGTGTAGCGGGTCTATTGGAAGGAGGTGGCAATGCTCGATCAACTCAAACGGACTTTAAAAGTAGTTACGGGAGGTAGTTGGCTATTTGCTTTTAGTTTTTGATTTTACTTTCTTTGTATTGTTTTTTTGTATAAATTAATAAAATATGCTGACAGTACCGCATCGTTATAACAAAAAAAAAGAAATGATTTCGGCCATTTTGACCATTTCAGATATCCGAAATAATTCATTTAGACTTTATGTATAAATGTAAGTTTACTATATACTAACCTCTTTGATAAACACTATAAATATAATAAACAATACAGTATATTGCAATATATAATCTTTCAATTGAATTTGGCTTTCTATTTACTTCTACTAGAGTTAAATGTAATATTAACATTTTAGATTTATCATCTTTCATAATGATATAGATTATGATCTAAGAAAATCAAGTTCAGTGAATATTTTATTAAAATTAAAATTTTAATTGCATTTAATTTTTATTACATTTAGACCAAAATAATAAGATATTAATTTTAGTTAAAAATTTATCAGAATTTAATTTTCTTAAATCACAACCCATATTTCACTGCCTTTTCTAAGTAATATATCACCTTTGTAGTATTATAGAATAATTTAATATTAATGTATAGAAAATTCTATAGCATTAATATTTAAAACTAACAACATAATTAAATAAAATATTTTAAGATAAAATGCAAACAAGTAGAACCTTTTCATATTTTCCTTTTTCATTCTAATAAATGTCTTGATAATTACTAAGTAATTGATAATTATTTCTTGATCCCAATAATTTTCTGCTGCTATTCGCATATTAGAAAAACTAAAGAGAAATGATGAAAGTGGTCCAACTTGATTAATAGCCTACAAACAATACCTATTTATATTAATATATGCCTGTATACAGCTTTGTTTAAGAAATAGAGAAGAATGATAAGATTAATACTCCATATTCATAATAAAGTAAAATCATTTTTCTAAATCAAAACTTTAACTGAAAATATATTGGAAAACCTCCTACTTATCCTAAGAAGAAAGATTAACCTTAAATTCATCTATGAGATTTTGTGAGCAATTAAGCTTGTTGAAAGAGATAATGTCATTTACTACTATAATAGCAATAACAAATGGCAATTTGTGAGGTAGCTATGCAAATTTATTAATCAATTCATATTTGGCTAGGTTTAGATTATTTTTATCATCTTTTTCTTTCATGAGAATTATTGGTATACTTCTAATATATGCATCCACGCATTTACGTTTTAAGGTACTTCTATAGGTAACATTATGGTTAACTTGGAATAAAGAAAGGTAAGAAACAATGTTTAACAATTCACCATTCCTTTTATGAAGTTCATCTTCTGAATCACCTTCTTTCAGACTTTTTTATGAGTTTTAGTATTTGAAACTGCATCTCTGAATATTCAGTTGTAGATGGAATTATAAAATGATTATTAAATTTGCAAGTTTTGCATAATATTGGATGTAATGGCATTTCACTTTCCAAAATAAGAAAAGGTTGTTTCAATGGAAAGATCAAAACAAAAACTGTATGAATCAACTGGTTGAACTGAATATTGAATAGGTCTAAATTTATATATTTCAGAAATTGTTAGGTAGATACAGTTCCATTTATCCTTATCTTTTTCCAACTTCTTCATTTGTTCCTCTAACTCCTTCTCGTTATAATACTCTTCTTTTGAACCTCTCTTCAATTCATTTACCTTTTTGCATCATTTAATTTTTGTTATTTTAAGTGTGTAGATATGTAGATCATGTTGATCTTGTTATTGTATTCCAAAAATGTAAATTTAGGATTAAAAAAAAATTTAATGATTTTCTGTAGTTATGATATTCTGTTAGGATTTTGTATTTTGTAAAGTTTAAAGGATTTTAATCCTTTAATAATTTGTATTCACTATGGCAGACGGTTACCGTAATCTTAAAATTGATGATGATGAAGCAAATTACGAAGAGGAGGATGCATTAAAATGGAGGCAGCAAAAAACCGAAAAAGGAACAGACGAATTTATAGATCGTTCTGAAGGAAAGCGAATGCCTGACGAGGTTTGGCTGGTAAATAAAAATTTGCGACGACGATTCTTTGGTTGATTCTCAATTTAACAATGTTATAGAAGTTTATTAAAAAAATTTTAAAACTTTGTGAAGATTCCTCCGCATCTTAGTATGGTTGATATTCTTGGAGAAAAAAGGATAAATTTACAACGTATTGAAGGATCAACTAATACACATATGATTTATAATGAACAAGAAGCTGTAAGCATTAATTATTCTTACTTTTTATAGCGAGTAAATTATATTTTTGTTAAATTTCATTATCACTTGATTAAATTATATTCTAGCAAATTGAAATGTGGGGTTCGCGTAAAGAAATTGAACAAGCCATCAAACAGTGGAATGCACTTGCTGATAGCGTGTTAGAGAGACAAGATAAAATACGTAAGAAACAAAAATCCAAGGGCTGGGGAAAACCTGAAAAGTATCTTAATGAAAAACAAAAGCAAAAGATTGAGCGTAGAAAAGCTCGGGAAGATGTAGAAAAAAATTACAAGGGTTATCCACCTGAAGACAAACCCTTCAATGGGCTTTTTGTTCTTCCCATTTCCGACATCCCTGTTGCGCGAATTTTTGGGGAACAAGAACAGATCTTGGATCCTTTACGTATTGATACCAAATGTTTTATATGGTTCGAACCAAGCGCTAATGTAAGTATCTAATCAATAAGTTCTCTCAAATCTTTTTTAAAGTTCTAAATAAATAATTACTTTTAAATATAAATATATACACCTTTTTTTTTAAAAAAAAAAGTATATAAAAGTTGTTGGCGATTCTTATGGAACTGTTGAGGAAGCAACAACGCGAGTCAAGAACTTGTATATTAAAGTGCTTGCGGTATGAAAAGATATTTAATTCTTGACAGTATAGATTAAATAATTTATTCACATTAGTCAATTCTTTTATAGTCTAGACAAATTCCTCACATCATTGAAAATAAACAGAGCATTTACAAAGGTTGGGTACATCATTTGATGGATCCACCACATGGAAATTATAAAATTAAAATAGCGAAACCCGCAGCTTGGTTCATGTTACCATATGATATTACTGGTGAAGTTAGACTTCTCGAACCAGTTTACCAAGGGGAAATAATTTCAATTGTCGGTAAGGAAGGAGCTTTAAGGGAATTAAATTCAAACTCGGATTTTGGTATTTCAGAAACGTGAGTTTTTTTTAAGAATACTTTCATACTTCATATTGGTAACATATTGAATATTAATTTCGATAAAACGTCAGTATCCGTGAGTCAAATGTCAAAACGATCGAGACCGCTCTTTTTAAAGCTTTGAATACCATCTATTTATTTGATGAAGAAGCTAAAATGCGTATTAGGTATTTTATAATATATATATATATATATATCTTTTAAAAGGAAATATGTGCTTTGGGAGGGGGGTTTTTTTATTTATTTATTAAAGATTCATGTATATCCAGGTTTGGGCATGTATGTCTAACAGATTTTCCTAAGGAAGAATTATGGCCTATTGAAAAATTTAATAATAAGGTCTTGAATGATTCTCGATTACAATCCAAATTTGCTACGGGGTAAGTTATTTTTTGATAAGTTAATATTGTTCCACATGAATATTTTTTAACAGTAAATTTATTCTAGTATTACCAATCATCGTAATGCGCTCAATCCTTTACTTGAATTACTTTCAAACGGCAACAGTAAAAAGTCTGGCCCTAAGCAAGATGATCAAGAATATTATGATCAAGAATTAGAAGATCAAGAGGATGAAGAGAGCAAATTGGATTATCATGAACTTTTTGCTACTGGCGAAAAAAAACCTCCTAAACGAAAATATAAGTATAATCCAGAATGGGAAGGTTCGCCATTTCGAGAATTTAAGATTCGTGCATTGCGTTCATCCAATCAATCCGACCAAAAAAAGGATAACCCTGGGCCCTGGCCATGTACGTTTGAAGTTCAATTTAAGAAAGATGGGAAAATTGGATTATGGAACGCCACCGTTGATGAAAAAAACGTATTAGACATTAACATGTCATGTTTAGATAAGTTAGTATTATGTGTTTATACCATAAATATATTTTTTCTTTTAAGATAATTAACAAAAAAGAATTTCTTTTCTTTAAAAAAAAAAGTGAATATTCGTGGAAGCTTAATATCAAAACAGCAAAGCGTCTTTCTAATGATAAGTTTAGTGCTCAAGGAAATTTTGTTTATAAATTGCGAGTTTGGTAACTATATAATGCTTTGTGTTGTTCTAATTAATTCATTTTTAAGAATGCTAATTATATTTAAAATAACATAAACATAGTCCTCAAAATCGTTTGGTTTATTCAAACACTGACGAAATAACTGTTGTTTCAGTATGTGAAAAAACCAAATGGAAATATTGGTGGGATAAAAATACCGTAATAGAAGTCACTAGATATGAATTTTGGAAATTATCAAAGACCATGGATAATCGTCCAGGTATTGAAGTTTCTTTGGTTCGAGAATCTGCACCTAACGTTAGTTATGGGATATCAGTAAGTAAAGTTTTTTTATTTTATTTTATTTTATTTTTATTTTTGTTACGAAACTAAAATTTCTATTTAACATTGTTAATTTAGTTTTACAAAAAGTCTTGGGATGATCATTTTGCTTTTAACAATAATTTGAATGTTGGCGAAGAACCTGAATGGCATCCTGATGATATTATAGAAGGAGGTGTTGAAACTTTAATGGATGAAATTCGGAATTTTTTGGAAGCTCTTCAAAATAAACTTCCAAATAATGAATGATTCCTAATTTCGTTATAATATTCTTGGAAAGTTTATATGAAGAGTATTTATATCTTGATTTTATAATTTACAAGGGAGGCATTAGTTCAATTAAATATCTGTACACTAAACATATTAATACGGATTATTTTTTTTAAAAGATCGGATTTTTATGCAGTCAAATTGTAAATAATCGGTACATTCCTTCCAATTTTAAATGCAAAATAATCAAATAATAGCGTATTTCAAAAATAATTTTTTAATAAAGAAATTGTGCGAAATTATTTCATTTTATTATTATATGATCATGTATCAAATATGAATATTTAATCGCCAATGTAAAAAATGCATTTGTTTAAATAATTCCTATTTCATAAAACTCCAGAATTATTTTTATTCGTAATAAAATTTTTTTATGATATATTAATTACTTTATTATTGAATATTGTCGCAATAATTATTCTTGATTACTCTTTGATAATAATTTTAATTTCCTAAGTAATGATTTTTCACCATATGTACCATCCGTGACAATTAAAATTGAGAGATGCTAAAATTTAGGATTAGCCTAATATATCATAGTGATAAAGCGGAGATTGAACAAAAACATATAAACTTGTGAGAAGTCTGATACGTAAAAACCCATTTTTTTATTAACTTACTATTAAAATAGAAAAAGAAAAAATCATCTCTAAAATGTATATCTTGCCTAATCTAGTTCGACTTTACTTCGGTTGAGCAAAGATCGCGCTCCAAGAAGAAAAAATGGACGCGAACGAGGATATGAAGCCAATTATTGCCTTCTTAATACGTTCCTGGAATAATCAATTACATAACCTACATAAAGAGGATCTTTTAAAGCTCCAGCTGGACAGGGCAGGGGAATGCATACCCAACATTGGTTGTCGAAGTTGGCAACAGTGAGACTATTCCTAGCTTACATGGTCTTTCGACAGGTTATTTTTCTCCACGAACGACCATTCAAATTTATATTGCAATCAAAATATTTTCCAAGCGTCTCGATGGTACAATGGCAATGCTTGCACTGCGCTACCTACGTACAAATCAAAATAATTTCTGTTGGTGTTCGTTCCACTTGCTAACATTATTTGCTTCGGGTTCTTGCTCCTGTATTTTGAATTATCAATTTGCATATTCCTGCCGCTGAACTTTTTAATGGTTCTTCTGGTATGGAGCAATTAATGGGTTTTATGGGAATTAAAAAGAGTAATATTAAAATATTCCTAAAAATTCATTTGTATCAATTAAAGACGAAAAACGATCCCTGTTGAAATTATTATTGCATTAATATTTTTTGATTAAATTTTATAAAAAATAAAGTTTTCGCCTGTTATATCATTATAACTGTCATATTATTATGCACTGTAAAATTTTTTCATTAAGCTTTAATCAATCATATGTAAATGTAAGTATTAAAAATAAATTTTTTCTATTTTATTAATGCATTGTGCACAGCGGGACCTTAGGGTTATTTACTCTTTGAATCATATTAAATCATTTTTTTAAAAAAAAAGCCCATCAGAAACCAGTGATTGGAATCGTCATCCCTTTCTAGGAACCTCGATCTGATAGATTCGTCCGATGTCCGGAACGCTTTGCGCAATTTTCGCGTGATATAAGTCTCGGGCAAAAATTTCCAATTGGAGCCAATTAAAGTTGTTTAGCGAATATAATAATATTTCATTAACTGTTAGTAAGTTAATGCCATGACTTATTATAATTCTAACTAATACCATGCTAAGGATAAATTACTGTTAGTGGGAGAACCAAATAATAGCGGCCAATATGTTCTCTAATAATACTTTGTTAATTGTGTTATAATATAACTGATTCATTTGATTTACTCCAAAAAAAGAAAAAATTTTCACTCTCAATATAATAACCGGGTTTCGTAAAATTTTAGAGTTTAATATTTTCTTTATTGGCTCGTGACACACATCTCGATTTTTTTTACTAAAATGTTCCAATTACGCAGTGCATGACGAAACGCTATATATATACCTTTTTAACCTTTCTTTTTTTTTGACAAAATAAACTTTGCTTTTTTGTTTTCTTAAACCGCAAACTACCAGAAAATAAAAAAAAATTTAATATTTTATATGTAAGGTCGTAAGTCGCGTAAAATATTAGAAAAGTTCTTTGCTAAAGATATAATACACTTAAATAGTTCTTGAAGGTATTTTAAGAACGCCGTTAAATATTTATAACGCGTCAAGACGTTTCTTGGTGAGAGGTATGTCTTTACATATATTGTTAGCAAGCCCCTAGATTTGTCCTTTGTGAGAGATGAAACGCCTCGAAGTGTTGCGGTCGACGCCTAACATAAAAAACTCCTATCCGATTTTAGGAAATGACTTGGGAGGTCGATCTTTGCTAATGTTATTTAGATTTTAAATGCACTCTAGAGGGGTATTTTTAACCTTCCTTGTGATAGATAAAATAATATTCGCAGGTGGACACAAGAAATCCGAGTTTTAGTAGACATGAACGATAGTAATTTTGAATAATCGTATTCGATAATCTTCCATATAATTTTCAGAACACAAACTATTTTTTTAACATTTAACGTTAATACGTAATTAATTAAATAAATAAAATAAAATAGAAACTGTTAAAACTTACATTTTGTTTGTACCGATATGTTAAAGTTTCGGCAATACCTTCCAAATAAATCATAAAATTTGGCTTTTGCTTATAGTAAAAATTTATGCACAATGGTAGGACAATCAACGTAAAAACTCTTTATACATATCTAAGCCATATATTAAAGGTGTTCTTCATACTGTTTTGTCTGGTTATCGGCAAATTGAAAAAAATAAATAAATAGCAATATACAATTAGCGCATCGTAAAACTTTATAAGTTATATTTATAGTATATATTAAAATTGTATTTAAACCTTTTACCCTTCGGTTAAATCATAAACGTGAAGTATTGAGTAAGCGACCTCCACGGACAAAATTCGTCATATCCATGTATGATATATCATGGTAATGCCCTGATTAAGCGCACAGTATCCATTGCATGCTTAAGAAGGTAACCACGTCTGTGAAATTCACTATATTAAATGAGAACAAAGCCGCTTGTTCAACTCTGAAGCTTGAACCAAACGAAGCACTTAGTGCTGTTGCACGTATTGAATGATCCAATTTTACGGGCTTCACGTATGGTAGCCCTGCTAAGAAGTTTTCAGAGGTGACGAATCAGACGAAAGAAAAGTTGGAGGTAATAGATAGCTGGTTCGTGTTGTTGAACTTCTAATTATAATGTAATTTAAAAGTTTGTATGTATTAGCAAACAAAATGGTCTCGGGACTGTAATTTTTTAAAGTTTCCTTTTTCAAGAACATTATTTATTATCCAGCACTTTCTCGTCTTTTGTATTGCGGCTTTTAGTACGCAATAAAGTAATAATTATTTTTACGCAATAAACGTCATGCTTTACATACTCATATTATAAAAGTGGCATTAACTAGCAAGTTTGCTTAATTTCAATATTTGGATCAAAAATGTAAGAAACGATGTTGGAATCGAACCAACCAGAAAAACCAGAAATCCTAGAAATTCTGTACCATAATTGCTTGGATAAAATAAATGAGCAAGACGCCCCAGCCTGACTTCCTAGTATATACACTCGAAGAAAGGTGAGCACCTCTATCCTTTTTCGGACTGTACAAAAAAAAAAGAGAAGGGTTTAACTCTTTGTATAGTTTCAGACTCGGAGGGGCTCGGTGAATTGATATATCAAGACTACGTCATCACCTTAACTCCTGCTATTGCTCTCATATGAGCAATTGAAGAGAAAAAACTTCAAATCAGATGAGAATTTATATTCATTTTGTCTCATTGTCAGAATTATGGGATTAGGGGAACAACTGATGTCGTCACTATTCAAGTATGCACGTGACAGGTACTCTGATAAGTAGATCAAAATAACTGGCGGAAACAAATTAGGTAATAAATTTTATCACAAATCATTATTACATATACTATAAATTTAAAAAAAATTTAAATGCAACTATCTCGATTTGTTACATCTCAAGTACCTCTAAATCTTACGTTGAGACATGACAAACTTAAACCGTTGCTTTCGAACTCTTATACATACCATTTCCTACTTGAGCTATCTACAAAACAGCCTCCAGTATAGCACTTTGTCATTCAAAAAATTTTTTAACGCGTTGCTTAATTGAGCTTATAACCTTTTTACCCGCAGGCGGCTTTAGGAACGAAACTTTTGTTATCTGCTATTTTTTCTGGTCTTGTATCAATGAACCTTTTTTACGCATCGTCAAGGAAATTTTATAACGAATATCTCTTATATAAAACTATTTCAAATGGCCATGAATCTGAGTTTGATATGGCAGAAGACTTGATTGTGCCTCGACCGCAAGCATTAGAAAGACATAATGAGATTCTTCAGTCAACTGTTTTTGAGAGTAAATATTATGTTGTTTGCGACAAGCAAGGTACCAGAAAGCAACGCTAAGCAGGCCATGGATTGTGATCTAAGAAAATCAAGTTCCAAGAATTTGTTATCAAAATTGAGATTTTAATTGCGGAGGATTGGGTTCGCCATTAATTTCAAAGAAGAATTTATTACTTTAGCAGTGCAATTGACGCCGAAAATTTTGGGCTCAGATAATGGTAATATTATATTTTAATTTATTTTTATCATTTTTTAATTACAGATTTTCTCTTAGCTAAACTTGAGTATTCCAAATAGAGAAGCGCACTAAATGCTTTTATGCGTGTAATATATATATATATATATAAGAAATCACCGGTTCTTGCATTCGATAACATAAACATTTCAATGAAACCCACCCAGAAATTATCAAAAATGCGCTGATGGTTCAAAGTGCGTTGTAGTATTTGTTACTAGTAAAGGATCGGTCCCAAAAGGATGAGAGGTGATGTAATGCTGACTGGTAAAAAACTTTATTTCTGATTCTTTGAGGCAACGTAAAAGATTCCAAGTGTGATTGATGGAATGGTTGTTATTGTTCTTAAAAATAGCGCCTGGTCGCGAGCAAAGGAGCCCGTAATGTTTCGGAAGCAAACATATTTTGGCGAAAGATATTGAAGCAAAACAATCTTACGAAGGTAGAATTTATATATATTCAAACTTGTTTACTTTTTTTATTTATTTATTTCGGTACTACTGTACGTACATAATATCATCTAAATTTGGTAATGCCATACATTCTATTTTTTTTTTTTTAAAAAAATAAATAAATAAATAAATCAAATCAAAGGACGTTTAGAAAATTTTTTTACCCATTTTTTCGCTTCTTTTTCTTTAACGTTTAAAATTTTATAATTTTTTACAGATTGATTTTACAATTATTCATTAATAGTTAAATTAAGTAATATTGAGGATGTATTTTATTATTAAAAAAAAACCAAGACCTTACACAAATTCCAAATAACTTTTTCTGAAAATTATGAACGGCCTTTCTTATAATAAGACTTCCCAACATTATGTTCCCAATTTGTCTCCCAATGTCCCAGACATGACAACACTGCTGACAGTTCCAAAAGTTCATTAGCGTCATGAAAAAATTGGATAATAGAATGACTTTCAAATGTAATCGGATTTTAAAATCGATAAACCGTAATAAATAAAAAGAGGGTGAAACTGCCAGGAAAAATCAATTTTACTTTTTATGCCATGTATGATTTTTAGGCAAAATATGTTTAAAATGGCGATGTAAAATCCTCGTCCAAGTTTGTTATTTCGATATGTGGCATTGCAGATAATAAGAAGCTGTATAATGTATCAAATAAAAAAAGGTCTCATTAAACACACGAATTTGATTCATTGTTATTAATTTATATTTAAATTAAAATTCGGTAAATTTTTTTTTTTATAATTTGCTGAATATTCCAAGATTTTCAGTTTATTATGAATGACATTATATTATAAAGAGATGCAGCAGCAATATGTATTGTATGACTGCTTCAACTAGAAAATCCACATGTATATTGGTGATCCGCGTGTTTTTGATTTTGTGCATGCTTATCAGTTGATCGTTAAGTATAAAAGCCCCATCCATAAATCGAGAGTTTTTATCGTAATTCGCAATTAGTTTAAGCAAGTTCAGTGTTAAATAGTTTGTCAACGAAGTATTGAGCTTTCTTTCAACTCTATTCTTGTTCATTTTGCTTGCGTTCCCGGCGCATTGAGATCCGCATGCAATCTCGACAGCCTGCACCGCTTGCCCCTCCACCTCAACTTTATCGATCCTCACAATCTGCTTTAGTTCAAGCATCGAATCAAACGCTTTCTCCAATTTCGACCGCACATCACCAAATTTCACCGTCAGTATCAAGAACTCATCAAAACCGTCAAGTTCGAGGTCTTGACATTTCACCTTCTACTAGCGATCGTTCCGATTTTCTTCTTCCACTTCAAACAGGTGTATCTTCGTCAACTATATCAAACTTCAGTCAGCCTCTCTTTAGTCCAAGCTTAAATTCTCCTCTTACTCCTCGTAAACCTTATCCTGGTATCTCTAGTCTCATATATGAAGGCCAGCGAGTGTTTATACAAAGGAGAACTTTGACCGAGATACAAATTTTTACTAATATACAAAATCATCAACTAAAGTTTATATGTTCGGGTAGAGTTATTTCTCCCTACGATTTGGAAGCCTGGGAAGCAATGTTGAGCAACGAAAAGTTTCCGACAACGAATTCTGGGTGAGTCCGCCGAAAGTTCTGTTAATGCAATTTAGCATAGTGACAGAATATTGTTTAGGTATAATCCAGTGCAATTTTCACATGGAATGCATCCTGTTTTAAAATGGCACATTTGTTGCTTTATTACCTTCCATATTTTTTAATAAATAAATTCTAATAGAATATTTTTATTTATTATTTTTAGTCAAGATGCTTACGATGTTGATATTGCGACCGTGAGCCTTGCAATTGAGTTTGGTAGGATTTCTATTGAATTCATATTTATTGTAAAGTCGTTAATTATCATCTATACTGATTTGTTATTTCGACTTTTAGCCAGTAATAATACCAAAACTGCAAATTTCAATGCTTTGCTTCTTCATGCATTAAGTCAAATGCATCGCGTAATAGATCCCGAATTCCATGGGTAATTGACGTGATTTTTTTATTTAACCTGGTTAACTTATTTCTTTACTTTTCTTATGGAACGTTAATATTGTCTTCTTATTAATCAGGGAAGTTCCAATAGAAGCGTATAATTCCTTATTTCTTGTGAGAGTCTTTTCAAAACACTTTATCGGAAATTTATCTCTTGATGAAATTCATCGACAATTTGAAGGTTTGATTATTTTATTTGAATTCATTTGTTTTAATCTATTTGATTACTAATTATTATATATATTTCATAGGAAAATTCATCGCAATAGAATCTCCTAAGCTTAATGGATTGAATTCTAAAATTGATGAAAATAAACGTGTTCCAATTGAACTTGATCAAAAAAAACTTGTGATCGATCCTAAAGTTACTCGGGATACCAGGCTTAAAGCCGAACAACTTATGGATGGGTTGTTGACAGTTATTTTGAAGTTGGATCCAACGTAAGAAAATTAAGTAAATTAATTTCTCATTATTATTTGATAGCTTTGCTTTAATTTTATTCCCTTTGTATACCTATTAGTTTAAATGCGTCAACTTATGAATATTATCAAGAAAGTTTAAACACTTTGTTAGTTTTACTCTCGGCACAAATACACCAATCAAATGCAAGTCAAATAGAAAACAATTATTTTCTAAATATTTTATTGACTAACTTTAGGTAAGATCCATAATAATAATACTTTCATTATCATAAAGATATAATTTGCACTAATTTACATTTACGTATATCCACAGTGAGCTGGTCAATAACTTAACTAAGCGACTTGTGACAAACTTTATTGAACAAAAGCCTCTGCCACCTGCATCCACAAGTATGAGATTAGTTGGTTTATTTGCCAAAAATTTTTTTTTTATTCAATCCAGCAAATAGATTAGTTAATTTTGCTGGTACAATTACGTCACACGACAGGCGTTGTGTATAATGCCTATACCTATCTTTTCCCTAGTAGATCATCGGCAACTTTACCATCCGATCCACCGCCAATAGCGGAAAGAAGTTTACTTATGTTACTGTTACTCTCTGTTCAATGCCGAATTCCAGATGAGAAAACAAAAAATTTTCGCGAAGGAATTCGATCTTTAAAGGACGCGCAAGGTTCTTGGAATTTTTTTTTTGAAAAAAACAATCTAGGTGGTCAAATATATGTTTTATAATATAATGTCCTTACCGTGAATGACTTTGTTTTTTAGGAATCGATGAGAGCAATCTGGCAGTATCATTTCGTACTTTATATCAATTGATTTGTCGGTAAGTTATTCATTTGTAATAATTTATAAAATTTTGTTATTTGTTATTTTATTAGTTATTTATTTTTTAATATATATATTTTTATGGCAGTCAGTTGCCAAATGAAGAGATTTGTTTGTTATTATATCTATTCATGATCGAAAATGAAGATTTTAGGGTTTACGTTTTATCTCGTTTAGATCCCGAAATTCTTGTTTGTATTTCTTCGATCGTATTTTTTTCTTAACGATTATTTTTTAATATTTTATTTACTCTTTTTATTTTAATTAGTTACTTCAAATCCTAAGATTGTTGTATGATGGAATTGATAGCAAGACAAATTATTCACAGATGTATATTCTGCTTACAATTATTTTGCTTTTTAGTCAGGATGAAGTCTTTAACGAGAATATTCAAAAAATCGTATCCTTTATTAATAAAATAACGATTGTAACAGGCTATTTGAGTATTCATAGTTCATTGAATAGAGGGTTTTTGGATATTCATTTTCCTGAATATTTTATAAAAAAAGCATAACCCGTACAAAGAGAATCAGCTTGAATGGGTTTTAATAGTGGTTACTTATTTATTTATTTTTTATGTAAAATAAGTAGAGTCATATACATAGGAGTTAATATATAATATGGATCAACAAAATTAATTCAACAAACTAGTATGTAAGAAACACTCCGCATAATGAATTTATGAATACATCAAGTATTTCCAACATAACCATTCGTATTGATAGATTGACAAAGGTTATTGTTTATTTAAAGAAATATAATTTTATTTCCTTGATTCAAAGCAATGTTTTGTAGTCTATATCTTATCAGCCATGGTTCACAGAAAGATTTTTAAAATCCATATCATTAGGAGGGTTGACGTATTTAGTCCTTATAAGGATTATACAGTTTAATCTCAGTTCACATCAGGTAAGAATTTTTATCTTTCATGTTTTTTTGAAAATCATTGATTATAATATAAACCATTTATTTTTAAAGGATGTGTATTTTCACAACAACTGTTTAGCAATTATGGCTAACTTGGGGAATAGTATTCAAGACATACATCCCTATGTTGCGCAAAGACTTGTTAAGTAAGCGCTATTTATCATAATTTCAATATATAGAAAGTTTTGGCACTTTCTACAAGCAAAATAAATATATGATTTTTACTTTTTCTAATAGCATGTTCGACATTGTAGCTAAGCGATATCAAAAATTATTAAAAAAAGCTCAGCAACAAGGCGACGATGAAAATGTGAGTAATTATACCAAATTTATGTTCTTCATATTGCTATTATATTACGTTAAAATATTTTTTTTTTTTTTTTTTTTTTTACCAATGCAAGTCTGACGCTGTCGCAATATACGGTGATCTCGTCAGTTTAGTATTGGAAATCATCAATTCAGTGTTGACCCGAAGACTTAACTCCAATCCCGAATTAATATATTCATTATTGCATAAAAAGGATTTGTTTACTCATTTTCAATTGCATCCTAAATTTTCAGAATTAATTGCTAATATTGATAATGTAAGATTCTTATAATTAAGTTACGGTTTTAAACAAACAAATCAAGTTAAATCTTTAAATTTAATTACATCAGGTAATTAGTTATTTTCATGCTCGAATATCCGAAGCAAAACTTAAATCTCCATCTGCAGAAGAGATTTCAGAGTTAATTGAAACTGCAGCAAGAACTTGGCCACCAGGCAGACTTAAGGTTCGTATAAATCTTAAATTATTTATTTCATGGGTTTTTTATTAGGTAAATTTTCTATTCAATTATAGGAATTCCCTGATTTGAAATTCCAATATGAGGAAGAAACGGAATCACAAGAATTCTTTTGTCCATATGTTTGGGCTTTGATATATCGTCACACTTGGATTTACTGGGATGAGGATAAAGCTCATATCTTACGCGATTATATCATAGTAAGTTGTGATTCCTTTATTTATCCTTTATTTTATTGGCTTTAATAAATTAATTTCTGAATTTTATACTATTTCAGTATGATGATGAGATGGAAGATTCATCTGTTCAAGTCGTATAGAGTATTCTTAAAATGATTTAATAGTTATGGAAATTTTAGATTATAAAAAATAAAATAAAATAAAATAAAAGCATTGTATTTTCAATTTTATAATTTATTAAAAAAAAATAAAAATTGGTATAAGATCAGATTTTTGTATAATAGTATTTATATTAGCGATTAAATTCGCTGCATTTTTCTATACTAAAACAATATCTGTAAAAGTTGTTTATTTTATTTAGTTATCGCTATACATATATATTTATATAAACTTATTTACTCATATTAAAGAAAATTAGCAAATTAACATGAAGATAAAAAAAAACCTAACATCTCAAATTACATTTAAACAATAATAATTTTACCTTCTACAGGGAGAAAATTTTATTAAATTACTCATCTCCATATGATCGACGTCGGTCCCATTCTGAATTGTCTCGATTTCCAAATCCACGACCGCCGTATCCTCCACCACTTCCACCGAAACCACCACGACCGAATCGTCCTCCTCCTCCTCCTCCTCGACCACCTCGACCTCCTCTTCCAAAACTGCCGCCCCCTTCGTTGGTATTACGAGGACCAGAAGCTTCTTCAGCACGAAGCTGTCTTCCTTCGTATTCATAACCATTAATACTCTCAAGAGCTTTTTGGGCCACTTCTTCGTCATTATATTCGATAAATCCAAAACCACGAGCTCTTCCTTCGAAATCCAAAGGTAAGCGAACCGAAGCGACCTCACCATATTTTGTACCAAGCTCTCTAAGCATTTGTTCATTAACACTCCAAGGTATGTTTGCAACATATATAGTTTTACTGACAAAACTTCGACTTAAAATTGAAGTGAAGTTGGTGGTAAAAGGTAACCTTGTAGAAAAGGCTGGTCGAATCGATCTATTTACTGCTTCGGTAATTGATTTAAACATATTTTTATTTTTTACTTTATAAATTTATATATTTCTTTTTTGTTCGTTAAGGAATAAATAAAAATTTTTGGTAAAAGAAAAAAAAATTTATTTTCGATTGATTTTATCAAAAAATTTTTTTCAATAGATTTTATTCAAAAAAAAAAAAAAAAAAACTTTTTTCATCATCTAATATTACGATTATTACGATTATTGGGTAAAAAGATCAATTTTTTTTGCAGATCGGCCGTGTAACAACCAACAATTTTTTTTTTCAAATTTTACCGAACAAATATTAACGTTAACTTGTAAAAGAAAATTTTATTTTCAAAAATTTTAAATATTAGCCATATTAATTCAACTTGTAATGGATATAAAATGATTTCAAAAATGTGTTTGGAAACTTTTAATAGTCTTTGTATTCAAAATTTAGTATAAATCATATATACCAAATCGTCAAAGTTCCAATAATGCAAAACGATAATAACCCTTTATAGGAAAAACTCCTCACAAAGAGCATCTTTATTACATTATTAATTTAGCATACTTATGACTCGAACCAAACCAATGGATGGCAATCTTTAAAAATAAATGCCTTTCGAGAAATAAATTTCTCGATGGTTTTAGATCTTAAGGAAGTATGCGTTTGAGAATATAAAAAAAATTCATAAATCCATTTGCTTAAATAATTTTTGGATCCTTAAATATAATTGGCTCAAAAAATATTTTAAATTAATTAAATTAATTTACTTTAATAAATATAAAAACATTAGATTTTTAATAATATTTTAATTTAATTTTATTATTCTTTTAATAATAACAAATTTCATTTAATTTTTAAATAAAAATTTACTAATTAACCTATTTTTTTTATTTAAAATTTCTATAAATAAAGATTTATTTATTAATCTTATAAAATCAACTGATTTAAAATTTAGCTTTTATATTAGATGATTATTAATAATTAGCTTAATTGATCAATTTTTAAGTCTAGTTGAAATTATTTCTTGAATTATCTAATAGGTAAATTTGCTTATAAATTTAAAAGAAAATATTTTTTTTTATAAAATGGATTATATAATCTAAGAAAATCAAGCATTGAGGAATTTTTGACTAAATTAATATCTTTTTACATTTTAGTCTAAATGTAATAAAAATTAAAATGCAATTAAAATCTCAAAATTTGATAAAAAATTTTTAGAACTTGTTTTTTTATATTATCTATTAATTCGTGATTTATGTAATAATTAGAGAAAATCGTCTAATTTAATTAATGTCGATCAGGGTTAAGTAATATATTATAGTTATATAATAAAATAAAGATGTCTGAATCTCTTTTCTTTCTCACAATTGCTATACAAAAATATTTGTAAAATATCAAAGCGTAAAAAATATGATGTTTCTTTAATTTCTGTGGGAATTATTGATTCGAAGCTGCATTTTGGACCCTTTTCACATAGTTGGTAGACTATTAATAACTAAGAAACAGAATTTTTGGTTCCTATTCATTTGCATATGAAAATTTTAATTACTTTAAATGAACAAGACTTTATTATAATAGTTGTAAAGAGTAATAAGGAACATTCTGAACAACCAGAATACTTTTGCACTTGTGATACATTTAGTATTTCTGAGCTAAGTAATTTTAGTTCTAATGCAATAACCATAGTATATCAGCAAATATTTCACACTAAAACTAAATTTTCGGGACCTATGGTAATGCGATTTAAAAAATCAGATATTTATAAAAAATTATTAGAAGGCATTTTATTCCATTCATATTTTATAAATATTGAGTTAATACGAATTTTTGTATTTAAAATTGCTAAGTCAAAAAATAGTCAATGGGAATGTGCTGGTATTAGATTTAAATCAAGTTTTGCATTTCAATTAGCAAAACAACATTGTTTATTTCTTCAAGAGTTTGAAGAGAATACACGTAAAGTAACTGTAATGCAAAAGACTAATATTGAAAGAATATATTATGGAAGTATACCTGATCTTGTATGGAAAGAAATCTTTATTGAACAAGACACAAAAATTGTGAAATTGATGGCATTTACTGGAAGAATACTATTTGAAATTGATAACACTTTGACACAACAATTGATTAATGCTAAAGATGAGCACCATAATTAAGAAATTACAACTTGGTTGCAACTCCTTGTAAATTTATTTTAATATAAAAATTCATAAAATGTTACAACTCAAAGTATTGCAACTTAAGTTGCAACTAATTAAAAATTTTAAAAATAATTATGGGAACCATTTTTAATTGATGCTATAAAAATCCCTTCTTGCTCATTAAGTAATTGAAGTAATAATATTCTTATAGAAAAAATTTTCTCTTATCATCTTAAGTAACGAACTAATAGTCATGTAAATTGGTATGACTTTTTAAATAAATGGCAGGAACAAAGAACAATTATTGAATTATATAGCAATTTAAAGCAATTATATCCTATAAATTATCAATTAAATGAGTGTGAATTAAATGCATAGAGGTCAATGCTTTACCATATAGGATGTCATAATATAACACTATTTTTAAGACAAGAATTGGAGGTAAGAAAATAAATATTATTTATTTAAAAATAAAAAATATATATATTCTAATTAGCTAATTTATTTGATTTATTATAGTATGAATTTTAGACCAAATCACTAAATTCTGATATTGAATGAGATGCATTAAAACAACTATATGAACTTGGTTTATTAATAGTATATCTGATAAATTTTTATGATGCATCTAATACATTTTGGAATTGCTTTCAAAAAAGTTTAATGATTAATAAAAAAGGAACTAATGAAAAACAAGAAATACTATCTATAATAGCAAAAAATTTTAAATATGAGAAATTACAAGAACAATTATTAGTATTTATTAATAAAAAACAATTGAGTTTTATTTTTTATTAAATCTTTTTTGTTATTGGGTTTCAAATGATTTAATATCAAGAGCACGTATTTACTGTCATTTAAATGGATCTGATAGTTTTTCAATAAAAAAGCCTTCTTTTACACGTGAAAAATTATTTGTAAAAAAGTTGCAAGAATTTGAAAATTTTATTAATGATAAAGCACATGTAATTATAAGTTCTTATAAAACAGATAGCAAAACTGGTGAACTAATCAAATATCTTCATGATACTAAACAAGCTCTTTAGAAAAAATTTTATACTGAATTTCCTGACAGAATTTGTCGTACAACATTTATGACTAAATTACAAGGAAATGAATTTATATATCAAGAAGATCTAGATGGTCTTTGTTCAACTTGTAGTCGATATAGATATGAGATATTTGATGATATAAGAAAGTTTATTAAAAATAAAATTATAAATATTATTAAAAAGGTAAGATTTATTTGATACAATTATAATTTTATATGTAGTTGTTTTAATATTAAAATTCTTTTATTGCTTTTAGAAACAATTTCTTAATAATTTGAAAAAATTACAATGATTTTTAAAATGAGATTATGAAAAAAATCTAATTGTTAATAATAAAGGAATAACAAAACACAATTTTTATATTAGTTATTGCTTATTATAGGCATTTGGAGTTTGTACAGAAAATCATATACATGCATCTCAAGAATATTCTGAATTATTTACCTTTCTTAATCATCTAAAAGATCAACTTTCTACAGACTTGCATAAAGATTTTGATGAGTATTAAAGTCATTTATTATATTATTTTGCTCATTAGGCCCATAAGGTCTATTTGAACGCTTAATTTAATGCCAATTTGCTAGATTTAGATGAAAAAGGTGCTATATTAGTTGTTGATTATAAAATGAAAATATTATCAAAAAGTGTTAGAAGCAGAATTTTTTGGAAAAAAAGGGATAACATTATATACGATTCTTATGTATACTAAAAGACTGGGATCTCAAGAACTTGATGTTTACGCTTATGATCATTGGTCAATAAATGCATGTCAGGATTCTTAGTTTACTGTTTCTTCATTATATGCTATAATTAAATCATTAGAAAATAAACCAAAATGAATATCAATTATTTCGGATAATGGTCTACATTATCATAATGCAGATCTAATAATAATTTAAGTCATTGGTTAAAATAGTATCAAATAAATATAAAAAAATGTATA